TTAATTGCAAAAGAATTTTTGAAATCTTCCCAGTAGTTTTTACGTGAACCAAATACATTGGTACTAATATTATAAATGCGATTTCGATGAAATTTGGTATAGATGTAGAGGATAGTCTGGAAGAACACATAGTCTATTCACTTGAGTTTTTTTTTAATTCCACATAGACTAGGTGAAACGGGCCAAAGCTAGTGCAAAGAATAAAATTATTATAAATGCATGCGGCTTCATCCGTAAGAGCTCGTAACACAATACTGCAAAATTTTCTCAAACTCTGTAGGATCAACTTACGTCAGTCATCTGGCGCAGCTGCAGTTCAATCTGTTCGAGCGGCTGGTGCGAGTGAATGGTCCACGAGAGCTTCGGCCCGTCCACGTCCAGGCCCTCAACCACCGGCTCCTGCACCAGCTCGATGGACTTGTTGTGCTTGCCCAAGTCGTTGTCGGCCTGGAAATGAACAAAACAAACTTTAGTCTGGAAATAAAACCATATTGATAATGATAAAAGAGGTTTCCGAGCTACTTTTAACCATTCCTTTTAACCATGGGCCGGCTCGCCCGGTGTAATACCACGACCACACAGAAAACAGGCGTGAAGTGGAAGCAACTCCGCGTTTCGTTTGATGAGTGTGGTGCCGGAGGCCTAATTTTAGTCCCTTTTCCTTTCCACCATTTTCTTAAGAGGAAAGAATGGGAGGAGAAAGTGGATTGGACGGTGAAGGAGATGCATAGGAAGGGGAAATGTCCTCTTTATGTGCGTCTCCTCTTCCGTCAATTAGGGTAGGCAACGCATCTACAATAGCGGATGTTTATGTGCAGCGGTCGCTTCCCATTTCGGTGGATTCAGGTGGCCGCTTGCTCGTTTGCCAACTCGTATTATAAAAAAAAATAATTCAATATTATTTATACTAATATAATAAAGCGTGAACACACACTATTTCGTGGCGTAGGATGTCAGCAATCACAGCATATTTTTTAATAATTTTCTCTTTATTACAAAGCCCTACACTTACGACACGCTTTAGACTATATATTTTCACACTATTAAACTTAGGGGTAAATAAATTCGTAAAAACCTTCATGTGAGAAAGGGACCATGAACTACAAGCTGCCAACATTAAGGAAGCAAGGTTTAGGCCAAGATCTAAACTGCTGAACGGGTTTCGATAAAATTTGGTATAGTTGTATAGGGTAGTCTGAAAGAACACAGTTTACTTACTTTTTTTGAATTCCACGTAACGGAGTCGTGAAAGCTAGTTTAGATTATTATCTATACTATTATAATAAAGCGTAAACACACACTTCTTTGTTGCCTAAGATGTCAGCAATTGCAGCATATTTTTGAATAATTCTTTTTTTAATAAAAAACCCTACTTTTGCGTCACGCTTTAGGCTATATAAAATCCCTTATGTGGGAAAGAGACCATAATTGCTGCCAACTAAGGAAACAAGATAGCCAAGGTTTGTCATGTCATGTCAGTTTGACATTTGCTATTGATAATTTGACAAATGTAAACAATGAAATAAAGTTTTCATAATTTCATGCGGATGAAACCGCACGGGAACAGCTAGTAATAAAGAAAGAATGCAATATTACCTCGCAAGTGAAAGTTCCGAAGTCGTCGTCAGTGGCGGGCGTGACTGTGAGGTTGGAGCGAGCTCCGCGCGTGCTCACTGAGAAGTGGCTCGACGTGTCCTCGATTAGAGAACCATCTTTGTACCAACGGATATGTGCACTGGAAAACAAATCATATCATACTTATATTATAAATGCGAAAGTTTATAACAAATAGGCTTGTTTTTATCCCGGGAATAGTTACGGTTCCCGTGGGATTCATTAATTTAGTTATTTTAATGTTCACTCGATCATTCTGCAACGGTTCAACATATCTTATTGAAATTTGGCACAGATATAAAACAAAGTGTGGAGTACATATGGGATAAGGTTCATCCCCGAGAAATGTCCGGTTCCCGAGGGATACGTAACTTTTTGTTATTTATATAGTTCGTATGTTTTCTTATACCGGACGAAGTCGCGGGCAACAGCTAGTAATTTATAAATCAGTAAAAATAAATGATTTATTCAGAAACATTAAATTATAATATCTAACACTAGTTGTTGCTTGCGACTTCGTCGCCTGAAGTTGACAACATAGTCTTATTACTCACTGATAACGTAGCTTTTAAATGGTGTAATGACAAAATCAATTTCACAAAAAAAAACATTTTGATTGATTTTTATTTTGAATGAGCTGTTGCCCGCAAACTTCGTTAGCGCAAATTCGGACCCGTTACGCCATTTTGACAGCACGGAAATGAAAAAAAAGTAGCCTATAACATGCCCGTCTATGTCAGCTACCCTTCAGTGAAAGTCCGCTCGAAATCGGCCCAGCCGTTTCTGAGATTACTCGAAACAAACGCGGCTTGCGGACAGACAGACAGACAATTTTTTAAATGCGATTTTCATCTCAGCAACGCAAATACATCATCTTTCCGAAATCTGGAATTTATCTTTTGATATTACAAACACTCCAATTTTATAATATGTACATATAAATAGAGATTTTAATGTATTTCCAGTTGTATGCGCATGTGGAAATACTTTGCGGAAACTAGCAAAAAACTTAATTTTTTACAAATACATTTTAGGAAAAGAAGACATTTTACGTAAACAACTACGACATCCGTCAAAAAACCCAATTCGAATTTCTCTGATAATCGTTCGATCTTTTTAAACTTTTATTCTTCACGAGCTGTTGCCCGCGACTTTGTCCGTGTGGTATTAGAAAACATACGAACTATATAAATAACAAAAAGCTACGTATCCCGGGAACCGGACATTTCTCGGGGATGAACCTTATCCCATGTGATCCAGATTTTGTTTTATATCTGTGCCAAATTTCAATAAGATATGTTGAACCGTTGTAGAATAATCGAGTAAGCATTAAAAAAACTAAATCAATGCCACGGAAACCGTAACTATTCCCGGTATAAAAAGTAGCCTATGTGTTCTTCTAGACTATGCTCTAAACCTGTGCCAAATTTCGTGGAGGTCCGTTCAGCGGTTTAGGCTACAAATGCTAACAAACATCCATCCAACCATCGTAACTTTCGCATTTATAATATTAGTATGATATGGAGTAAGATAATACTATACATAAAGTACGTATCATTTAATATAATTGATATGTAAGAGATTCTACTGGGAAGGTCGTATGTCGCTTGTTAAATCAAGGTTGCGAAGAGGTAGACCTTACAATATAGGCCATTCAATATGGTGTTTATTCGCTTAGTTTGTCTAAATAAGATAGATTGGTTTGATAAATAACTCATATGAAATATTGAATTCAATTTGTATGAAAGCAAATGCCGTACTTAATAGACAAGTATCGTAGTGACGAAACAAGCACGCAGCGAACAATTATACACTATCGATATTCGGGTTAAATAATTATCGAACTCAACTAAAACTATTATTATCTTATTAACTTATTTAGAGGACAATTCTAGTATTGATTATAGTACTGATTTTACACAACCCATCATCATCTCCCCTGCCTTATACTACTCCCGTAGTGTCGGCGCACCGGGTTTTCGTCCTCCAAAGCACTTTATCATCCGTCATCTCAGTCATCACTCCCTTCTTGATCATGTCACCTTTCACGCAATCCATCCATCTCATTCTACGTCTACCTCTACCGATGTACCCCCCCACATTCATAACTAACATCCTTCTTGTTACATGCGATTCATCCCTTCTCATAACACGCCCATCCCTACTAAATTTCAAGTGAATTGTCAAACTAATCTATCTTATTTAGACACTATAGACCGACTTATCTGACCCGGGCATAAGTTAATCAACAGCTTACTAGCATCTTGTCAATACAATTACAAGAACTTTGTATTGTAGCTGTCTTTATCTATACTAATATTAAAGAGAAAAGATTTGCATTTTTGTTTGTATAAATACCTCAAAAACTATTGGACCTATTTTAAAAATTATTGCACTAATAAAAAGCTATGTTATCAGTGAGTAACATAGACTATATTTTTTATTATTGTTTTAATTTCACAAGGGCGAAGTCGTGTGCAATCGCTGCTTTTATATAATTTTCTATGCTTATTGTAGATACATATTTTGGGACATATACCGGGTTTAAATTTCTTTGTATTATATATAAGATAATAATATTATAAATGCGAAAGTTTAGTTGGATGTTTGTTAAAGTTTGTAGGCTTAGCTGAACGGATCTCGATGAAATTTGGCATAATTAAGAGCATATTCCATAGGAACACATAGGCTAATTGTTTATGTTATGTTATGTTTTTTTAATTCCCTGCAAAAGCTAGTATTATTATATAGTTTCACATACAAGTGGCTATAATCGAAACCCCAACCAACGTTGACAGTTTGGTATAATATCGATCAGTGGGAAGGGAATTAAATTCTTCGACTACACAGTTCGCTTGGCAACAGCCTCAACTTTCTTCCAGAACGTTCAAGCCGTACATTACGTAACTGCACCGTCCCTATCGCGTATGGCGCGGTGAAACTCGACAGATGTGACGACAGCTGTTTGACTCCGGCGTAGGAAGTAGTGTGACAATGAATTAGGGAATTACGTAAACATTAGTGAGACATTATTAATGGAATCTCAAACCCTGAATAAAGATACCGACTTCGGACTAATATTTACGGATGTAATATATTTTAATGTACCCAACATTTTATCAAATTACTAGCTGTTCCCTTGCGACTTCATCCGCATAAAGTAATGAAAATTTTATTTTATTGATCACATTTGTCAAATTGTCAATTGCAAATGTCAAAATCACATGACATGATGACAAATCATGGCAACCTTGATGTAGGCAGCAACTTATGGTCTCTTTCCCACATTAGGGTTTTTATCCAAA